CCCAGGTGCAGGACTTGGCCTTGTTGAGCCTTAGGAGGTTCACCTGAGCCCACCTCTCCAGCCTGTCCAGGTCCCTCTGGATGGCATAATGCACACTTGCTTTTTCGCAGCCATATTTCTAATGAGAAGTATGGTAAAAAAGAGGTTTGAGGCCAAAACCTGTCATGGTGTTACAGTCATTTCAAGAGGAAAAAAGGTATCTCTCTAAACGTTTCCTTTTAACTGCTGTCACCCTTCTAGTTTTTAACCATGCCATGTTTATAACAAGAGGTAGATCTCGTTGTTGCTATGAAGCACAGTAAGCAGCTGGAGCATCATAAAGCAGGCAGTCACTGTGTGGCCAGAGCCATCTTCAAAATCCCCTCCCCTTGTCACTGCTTCAGAGTATGGGACATGCCACGAGTGCAGAGTGCAAAGGCTGCACTTCAGCTGCCGAACTGAGCACGTTTAGGCCTGGCTGGGCACTGGTGAAAAATGGACAAAGGTGCTTTAGAACTTCAGCAGAACTTTGAGTCTGTCCCAGTGAGCATATAAATTTCTTAAATGCAGAAATGGGCTTTTTTTTACCATACATAGGATTAGCAAAGCATAGAAGTTGCATTCGGCAGAACAATGTCAGCTCTAGAGTCTAAGTCTGACTGGTTCACACTGAAATTGAGGCTCCTTGTTGAGCCGTTCAGGTGATATGAACTTGAACATCACAACTCCTTAACAGACCTCAACAGGCTTAAGAGGTGGACCCATGCAGACTTCATGAGGTTAACCAAGGCCAAGTGCAGGGTACTGCGCCTGGGTCAGGGCAATCCCAAGCACCAATACAGGCTGAGCAGTGAGTGTATTAATAGAGAGCAGCCCTGCAGAGAAAGACTTGGGGGAATTGACTGATGGAAAACAGTATACAAGCCAGCAGTGTGTACTTGCAGTCCAGAAAGCCAGTTGTATCCTGGGATTGCATCTGGAGAAGTGTGGCCAGCAGGTTGAGTGAGGTGCTTCTCCCCTTCTACTCCACTCTTGTGAGACCCTTCCTGGAATACTACGTGCAGATCTGGGGCTCCCAGCATAAGAAAAACATGGACCTACTTGAGCAGGTCCAGAGGAGGGACACAAAGATGATCAGGGGGCTGGAGTACCTCCCTTGTGAGGACAGGCTGAGAGAATTGAGGTTGTTCAGCCTGGAGAAGGCTCCAGGGAGAGCTTGTAGTGGCCTTCTAGTTCTTAAAGGGGGCCTACAGGAAAGGTGGGGAGGGACTATTTAGCAGGTCGTGTAGTGAGAGGATGAGGGGTAACAGTTTCAAACTGAAAGAGGGGAGATTTAGAGAAGAATTTTGTTTAGTGTGAAGGTGGTGAGACGCTGTAACAGGTGGCCCAGAGAGGTTGTGGATGTCTCCTCCCTGGAAGTGTTCAAGGACAGACTGGATGGGGCTTTGAGCAACCTGATCCAGTGGAAGGTGTCCCTGCCCAGGGCAGAGATATTGAAACGAGATGGTCTTTGAAGTCCCTCCCAACCCAAACCATTCTATGAAATCCAACTGCATTTTTACTAATTACAACAGACTTCCCACCTCCACTCTAGTTTGGAAAGTATGTTGAGCACAAGTTAATATAATTTTACTGAGCCTAAGTAATCCTAAAACATCTCTTT